ATCTTCCACTAAAGACCTAGCCAGCTGCCTGATAAGAAATTGATCATCGTGTACAAAGAAATGGCCTGTTTACGTCTTCCGGAAACCTTTCATCGAGCCGGGTGATCCAGCCTTGACAATGCCTCCGGATAATAAAACCCCACAAAATGACCATTTCAACGGCAGCCGCATCGAGCCTCTCCCGCCCGTGCGATCAAAGCCCAAAAATGACCGGCGCAACGGTAGCCGCACCGACCCGCATATTGTACACGCGTGTATGGTCCGAACGATGAGAACCATTAAGCATACGCGCATCCGTCTAACGTCCGCCTGGACGATAGAACCTCATTAATGCTACCAGGACGTGTCCAAGCCCGCCCGGACAATGGGACTTCATTAATGCTGCCAGCGCGCTCCCCCGTCCGCCCGGACGATAGAAGTTCATTAATGCTACCCATACCCAGCGCCATCCGCCCGCATCCCTTGCCGCTGTCCCGTACGCGAGAGCGATAGAGGGCGGCAATACATCCGGATGGAGGTCAAAAAAAAAAGTGAAGGGAACAAACAAAAAAAATTTGCCTCTATCGTGGACTCCAAATACCCGCAATTTTAATTTACACTATCCAATACATAATCACATACATGTACGTGTGCAGCGTGCCGCGCTCACTCCTATATAAGCACGTGCGATCGCGCAAAGGGAACATCATACTCGTTTTACACGCCAACCCCGTGTCTGAAAAATAAATACATAAATAAATAATCAAACGTAACCCTAACTCAAACGTAAGCTCGAAAATGTCGCAGCCCTGGGAGAGTCTCGACTACACCGACAGCGAGATGGAACAGATCATGAGAATGACAGATGCGCCGGCTCAACCGTGGGAGAGTCCCAACTACACAAACAGCGAATTGGAGGAGATTCAGAAAATCGCGGACGAGATTCTTAATACAGTGAGTACCTATTGGGTGTCATAGTTACATTTTTTTTTGCTTGCGTTATCGTTTGTTTAGTTTCGTTTGTTCGTTTTTGTTTTGTTTTTTGTTCGTTTTTCGCCCTCCCTCCCCATGGCGTATCTAAGGTTGGTGACGCGATGACTTACTCCGCCGTACCATTTTTTTATCTACAGGATCAGCGCAGTAGCGGGTCTGACGCCGTCCTTCCCTTAAACTCCAAGGGGGAACGAATCAAGAAATTGGGTACCGACGGCGAATGGGAGGAGAGTCAGAGAAGCGAGGACGGGATTTTTGAAACTGTAAGTACATATTTTCCGTGTTGCAGCTTGGTAACTGCGCGTCCCGTGGGAAAAGTTATCGCCCGTCTTGCGCGATCGGCCCGCCTTCATGCGCGTGATTTGTTTACTAAGTACTATTGCTATTACTGATGGAGAGCTTTCTGGCCTTTTTTCTCTCTTTTTTTCCTGCCACTTGCTCTACTCCGCTCGTGATTTTGTTTTGTTTTTATTTTGTCTTTTTATTTAGTTGTTTATTTAATATTTATTTCTTTTTAAATATTGATATAGATATATTTGTATTTATTTTATTCAGTCATCCCCGGTTGGTAATTTCCCCTCTCCTGTATATAGTGGCTGAGAGTTTGACGCCGTGACTCAAGCCCCTTAATTTGTATTTTCTGTTCGTACAGAACCCAAGACGTTTCAGGAAAACGGCAGTTTCTTCCATCACCTCCAAGGGAAAAAATGCCAAGACACAGGGCAGTGTTTACCAGTGCCCAGAGTGTGACAGGAAGTTCACCCGACGAGATTCTATGCGGCGTCACGCCAACCTGCACGACGCTACGAAGGGATTTTCCTGTCCCGT